GTACGTTAACAAGCCCCGAGAATTCTTTGAATTAAAATTAGTCATATGAAGAGCAAACATCATTCTTCAAAAAAACTTTGTTTGTGAACGAAAAAGTTTTACTTGCCTCTTACAAAGTATCATATAAAATAGCCAGATATAAAAAGGCTCACACCATTGGTGAAGACCTTATTCTGCCAGTTGCGATGGAGATTGTAGAAACTATGTTTGGAGATAATTTTGCCAAACAATTACAATCCATACCTCTTTCAAATGATACTGTTGCCCGCCGAATTGGTGATATAGCCGAAGAGCTATATATATAGCATCAGCTTCTCGAAAAGTTTTATGACAAATTGTTTTCGATTCAGCTTGACGACGCAACAGATAGCAATAAAGACGCTCATTTAATTGCCGATGTCTGTGATGTTTTGTGATCGCATATCGGCACTAGAAGAACTACTTTGCTGCAAACCTATAGAACTCAAAGCAACAGCACTCGCTTTGTTTGATATTTTAATTGATTTTATTAATGAGGCAAACATAGAGTGGAAGAATTGCGTTGNAATAAAATAAATAACCAAAAGAACGAAGTGGATAATAATAACCTCAAATTAAATTAACTGCGAGATGGAGAAGAATGTTTAGGTTAAGATAGATTAAGATAAGCACGGTGTTAAAGCTTTGGTGGCAGAGCCGGGTTTGTTTTTTGTTTTTCTTGTAATTTTGTTACTGTAGCTTCAAATATGCTGGGGCATATTTGGCCCAGCGGGGGGTAATGCCACGAAAAGTTTTAACACCGATATAAAACAATATTTTATCGAGGGTTATTGTAAGACAATCGCTGGTATGTAATTAGATAATGCTTTATCAACGTCGCGAGGATACGACGACCTGCCCGATGGCGGGGGACGCCTCGGAAGAATACCAGTGATTGTCCGGGAGTTGGGAGTAAGAAGCGGTTAAGTTCGGTGGTAATAAAAAGATTTAAAAGTTATTTGTGATACCGTTTTTGATTTCCAACCCGAATATCTTCCCGACGTCCGGAATACTAAGCCTCAGTACGAAACACGGTAAGTACCTTAACTATTATATTCAGATTAGAAGGGTTAGCTAGCGTTGGTACCTCCGCAATAAGAATTCAAGCGAGTAGCTAGGAGCACTACCCCCCTGAACCAAGGGCGAAACGTGACATTTGGTGGAGGCGCCTTACATTTGATCCCTAGGTTATTTACACGTAGGAAATGCCTGAGGGTGCTAGAACTAGGTTACAGGTTCGCAGAGATGGTAAAACAGATAGAAANTCGTATATTATTGCCATTTTCAACATCCTACCTTTGTGAAGCCGGATTTTCTGCGGTGGCTGCTTTAAAGACAAAATATAGGACTCGACTGAATATAGACCAAAGAACTGAGAGTGGCTATTTGTAATATAAAACCTTCTTTTGAAAAACTTTGCTGTGCGAGACAGGCCCAAGGGAGTCACTAATAATTATAATTATTACAGCTACTTTTAATTTAGTACTGATGAGTCTATTATTAGTTTCATTTGGCATTTGACAGTACCTACTGATACAATTATATTTATAGTAATTAAATACCTAGGTAATAGTACGAGTGTATTAGCGTAAACGTGTACTGTACTTACTTAATTTTTTGTAATGTCAGAATGACAATAATTTTTTATTAGTAATTACCTTTTTTTTCATTTTGATGTGTTGGCGCCCCCCTAGGGGGGCGCGCCCCACAGGTTGAGAAACGCTGGTCTAAACCCATAAATGGCTAAGATATAGGTATTCAAAGTAAAGACATTTTTAAGCATTTTCTTAAATATTTTCAATATGGTTTGTCTTAGAAAGACAAAATTTGGTAAACAGTGCAATGTTATCATGAGAAATCGTTTAAGATCACTTTTGAAAATATATCACGGGATCAATGCTATACAGGTGATTATTTAATTTTAACTTTTAGCTGGTTAACAAAATTTTGCTTTACGTTTCAATAAACTTTATTATCAAACTTAACTTAATACAAAACAATCCTAAAGTTGCGAGAGAAGGATGTTCAATTATAAAATTATTTAGTTCTTACAAAACATTTTATTGAAAATAATCTTTGTTTAATGACAAGATTAACAACTTTAATTAAACATTATTGTATAATATTTTCATTCAATTGAATCGTTGATTGTATAAATCGGTCGCCTTAATAGTAAAATATCTTTAATTACTTTAGGAATATTCATCCTCATAATAACATTAAATGCTTTATAATTCACGCCGTTTTCACGTTGATGTTCAACAAAAATAGTTTTTCTGTAACAATCTCGAGCTATTTGTTTTAAACTAGGAACACACCCATCTTCACTAAAGTAACGATTATTTATTATGCCTTCGTCGTTGTTTCTTTTATTGAAAATTAACGTCTTTATGAAGGGTTGACAACCGTATTCGTAACCAATAGGCACTTCCGATGATAAAATTGCTTCGATTTCATTGCAGAATCCTTTTTCGTTATGAAATATTTCTATATCTTTTAATGTCACTGGAAATCCTTTACTCAACAGTAACCAAACCCATTTTAGACTTTCAGCGGATTGACTAAAACACGTGTATATCGATGTGTATAATAATTCGGCGCAGTTAATATCTTCGTCTATTATCTCATCTGATGCCTCCTCTATTTTAATTTTATCGATGTATTCGAAAACGCGCTCAGGCACCGAATTAATTAGGTCATTAACAAAAATTGTCGACAATGTGGAAATAAATACTGATTTATAATTTAATTCATCGACATAATCAAATAATATATCCGCTATTTTATAGTTCCAGTCCTTCACAGCAATCATAAACGGAAATTCCCCTGATTTATCAATTTCATTTACAGACGCATTGTAATATAACATCATGCATATAAATTCGTTGTTGAAATTACGACCGTATTCAGAGACAATATGGTGAAGAGGAGTTTTTCCATCTCCATCCTTAGCATTAACATCCGCTCCATTTTCAATTAGAAAACGACTGAGTTTAATATTATTACAGGAAAGATGTAGGGGTGTTTCTTCGTTGTAATTTAGGGCGTTCACATCTGCCCCATTTTCCACCATGAGCCGCATCATTTCAATGTTTTCAGTTGTAGCGATTAAGTGTAAAGGTGTTTCTGACAAATAGGTCTTAGCGTTAACATCCGCGCCATTTTCAAGCAACATTCGACTAAATTTAAGATTGTTATTCGCGATAGCAATGTGTAAGGGTGTTTCCTCACGATTATCCTTATCGTTAACGTCCGCCCCATTTTCAATTAACATTTTACTGAATTCAAAATTATTGTTTATAGTGCCAAGGTGTAATGGCGTTTGTTGGCATTTGTTTTTAGCGTTAACATACGTTCCATTTATGATTAATAGTTGACCCCATTGTAAGATTGAATCGATAGCGGCAAGATGTAGAGATGTTTCTTCATGAAAAGGATTATTCCTGCTTCTATTCATTTGTGTTAACGGGAAACAAGCAGGGCAATCAGTTCGCACACAATGTTTCCAATGTTTTAATATTTGCTTTGCAGAGGTGCAGTGGGGTATCGGGCATTTTTGTAATAGACATGAAACCATATGATCTAACAATGTTTTCATCTTTTCACAATGAGATACTACAATGGGGCATAGTTCTACGTCATTCGCTCCCTCAAATTCTCGGTTTTGGCAAATATGATTATGCAACATTAACATGAATTGTTCTTGAACTAATTTTCGGTCATCAAGATCTAAATATAAAATAAAATAAGCAAAAATTAAAAAATGTACATACGTGCGGACAATTAGTCTGAAGACGCTCGGCTTAACCCGAAACTTTCTAGTTCTAGGTTTAGTTTTTTCGCAAATATCTGAGCTTATTGCGCACTAACAGTCCGCTGAGTGTGATTATGTAAGCGCATGTACTGGAAGGTACAGTTGATGAATGTTTTTCTATATAAATAAAAGTTAAATGTTTATACCTCTCTGGCCACCTCCTTGAAATTGTACATCAAAAGAAGTTGACTGCCATCTGCTGGGCGATTCTGATTGACCAATTCCAACTGCACCATTCTGCGTCGAACGTGCCTATAAGATTCATCAATATTATATGTTGCAATGTATTAAGAGATCGGTTCAAAGGAATAATTAAATAATGTAAAATAGTCACAATTAGGGATGGGCAGAAATATTTATCTACCGGGTGAGTAAATATTATTTTATTTACCTACTCGCACTCGGGTATTTATTTGGGTGGCGCGATAGGTACAGGTGTACTGAGCAAAGAAGTTAGTACTTGAATCTTAGCATTTTGATTGGCACAAAGGGTGGGGTGGTGCACTGGCTGGGCGTATCACCTCAAGGTCATCAGTCACTAGTGTCAGTACTTAAACTCAGTAGTGAGCGACTGGATCTACTGTGGATCTACAGGGTCAATATGGGACTTATTCACAGTTAAAGACAAACATTCAGTAATTTGTAAATACTGCAGTAAGGAGTACTTCGCAAACGTCAATAAAATGACGATACACATTTTTAATCAATGTGTTAAGTGCCTAGTGGAAACTAAAAGGCGCATTCAACCAAAATTTCGCAACGAATTACGTCGAAAAAAAAAAGACAGTCAGCGTCCACGTTCTATTATAATTAAATTTATTAGTTATAAAATCCGAAATGCTGCAATAAAAGCAAGAACCAAACTTAAAAACTCAAAAATATCTCTACAAGCAGATTTGACCGCTTTTACATACCCCCTTTTCATAGCTGCTCGGGAGAAGTATAACTACAGGAACTGCTGGACAAGATGTGAAAATTTATGCTTAAGTGAATGGTTCAATCATAACAATAAAAAAATTGTTATAATAAGAAAGGGGGAGGCTAATACGTTTTCAAATGTTTACTACTTAATATCTCCTGAACCATTCAATCGATTTGAATATTTTTGGTCTTGTTTGGAAGAGCATTTTATGCTCTTTTACTGGTCCGTTTTGAACTGGTTCAAAACTACTTTTGAGGCGTGTTTAAAAGCCAACGAACAATGAAACAGCAACAATGATAATAAAACAAAATAAACCAAAACACTGAGAATTACTTCAATTTTTGGCAAAAATAGCTGACAAATGTTCAAAATGCCTTCCATAAACCTCGATTCAGTTATTTATTCTAGTTTCGACGAAAAATAAAACGCTGTTCAAGTCTCATCCCTGGACACGTTTCTAATGGCATTTAGTGTTTTGTCATATTTTCCCTGGTTATTGGTTAATCTTGAAAAGTTAGGTCGTTTAGTCTACCCCATAGATAAAGAGGTGAAAGCAATATGGGTTCTGCTCGAACCAAGAATGCATATTATGCAAGTTTAAATCCTCATACGCTCTATTATACGCTTCTGCGTTAGTAAATGACATGTTTACAGTTACCATGATTATGTGATTTGTTTTTCTCGATGAGGTAGCTGGATCCGATTGATGACACTCGAGTTTTTAACATTTTCTTCTATAATTGATGAAGAACGGATGGTGATATCGAGATGCGGTTTTCACTAATATTTAGCAAATGTTAAGGTGACTAAGGGTCTGTGAAGTAAATAGTACCGTTCCATTTAACTTTTTTCAAAAATCACAAAAATATGTAATGGCCGCAGATAACGCCCTCTAGCTTATTTGTTTCAAACCAAACAGTCTTACTGAAAATATCTTTTAAAAGAGCATAAAATGCTCTTTCAAACAAGACCAAAAATATTCAAATCTGTTCGATGGTCCAGGAGGTATTAAAATGTAAACATTTGAAAACGCATTGGCCTCCCCCTCTCTTATTATGATAAACATGAGAAATATCGCAAAACAAAAGCGATGCGGTATTATCGAAGCTACTAAATGATGTTGTCAAAGGTATAGCTTATCGTGTAACTTTCTGAGATAGCGGGAATTTTATGTTTCTCTATTGCAGTTACGCAATGTGTAACTTCGTGTTCCACTGGCCCTGTGCGGCTGGATTGAGAGCACTCTAAGACATAGGGTCATCAAATTAAGGGCTGGCCAGGCCACTCTTTAAGGGGCTGTTACTAGAGGCTGTCCGCAAGGGGGAGTACTTTCTCCACTTTTTTGGAAACTCACCCTCGATAGCTTCATGAAACGCCTAAGCCTAGCCGGTTTTAAAACCGTTGGTTACGCAGATGACCTGACAATCCTCATAAGATGCAAGTACGCTAACGTACTCCTCGACAGGATGCAGGAAGTACTCAATCTAATTGAGAACTGGTGTAATAAACAATGCCTTTCCGTCAATCCCAAGAAGACAGAGATGGTTCTTTTTACACCCAAGCGCAACATTGGCAATCCTAGACTGCCAACGCTCGCTAAAATTCCACTTAAACTGTCTACAGAAGTTAAGTACTTGGGCTTAATAATAGACAGTAAGCTAACGTGGAAATCTCACCTAGACAATAGAGTTAATAAAGCTTGTTGTGTCGCCTTCGGCCAGTGCCGGAGGGCTGTCGGGAGGACTTGGGGCTGTCTCCCAAGATAGCCCTGTGGATTTACACCGCCGTTGTTCGATCAATGCTAACTTACGGTGCGATGGTATGGTGGACTAGAACTTCTAAGTCTACCGCCATCACTGCACTTAATAGAATACAGAGACTCGCGTGTCTGTCTGTTACAGGTCGATCAACCCCCACCGCGGCCATGGAAATCATGCTAAATTTACCACCACTCAACCTACATATTCAGGAAGTGGGGTTGGTAGCCATGAAAAGACTACAATCAGTAGGAACTATGAAGGATGAGGACGTTAGCAGCAGTTCAACACTCTGGAGGGAAGCAGTGTTAGAAACACCCCTACTCGAGTAAGTGTAAGTGTTTTACTATTTTTACAGACAGTAAACAATCTCTTTTAGCTTTAAGCAGAGTTATTATAACGTTTGCAGTAGTTATGGATTGTCACAAAGCGCTGGAGGAGGCCGCGAAATACAATCGTGTCAGAATCCAGTAGATTAAAGGGCATTCCGGCTCCAAGGGTAACAACCACGCGGATAGGCTAGCCAAACGTGCTGCCGGTAGAGCGCCCTGTGCACCTGAGCCGATAATTACCCCCTCTTTAGCTACTCATATCGAGTTAATAAAGCGCATTACCCACAAAAAAATTTTAAACGGGTGGGACCGTACCCCGGGCTGTCATCTCGCCAAGGAATTGTTAAAATATCCTTCAGCCGCAACAGCCCAGTTCTTCGTAGGGCTCGGTAAAAGTGCCCTTCGCACTGCCACAGGTCTCCTCACGGGACACTGTAAGTAAATAAGCACCTTCAAAACGTGAAGCTTGCTAGCTCCCCTCTTTGTCGAGCCTGTGAACAGGATGACGAGACGGTTAAACACATCTTGTGCGATTGCCCGTCTCTGACCTACCGCAGAATGAGGAGGGGGAATGGGGAGGAATGGCCAATCACAGATGACATCAGGAATGCACCTCTAGGAGCTGTTCTAGCCTTTGGTAAATCCTTAGGCTGGTTGATGTGACCAGAGGGTGTAATGGGAGGATGCACAAGGGGCCCAATCCATACATACATTGCAGTTACGCCCCTTAGCGGTCGAATTATGAAGTTCAAAATAATTTCCAGCTATTTCTCTTGCCCACTTTGCTTATAAGGATTTTTTTTCTCAAACCTGTAGGCCTTACCGTTGTCGAAATACAACCGCTCCGTACCCTTAACGGGACACCTGTATATCTTTGTGTTTTTTACATTTGCTCTTTTTTTATAACATCAGATATACTGTAGTTCTTATAAATTGGTACTTTTTTGTTACCTTCGCCAGTCTTTTGTATCCGTTCGTGTCTCATTTGCTGACTGGCATATTTGTTAGAATTGCTATTCCATTTGTTCATTCCTTTAATTATTTCTTTTTATGCGCAATTTTCGTGTGGAACATTTGAACGTGAGGTCATTGCTTGTACACTTTAGTGAGTATTTGGACCGTTCTGATTGTGATGCATTTGCTATATCTGAAACATGGCTTAGCCCCAACATTAATAATTCTGTTATTTAAATTGAAAATTTGCACTTCTTTAGAGCTGATAGATTATCTAGAGGTGGTGGGGTTGGTCATTATATCCGAAACTGTTATAAATGTCAAGTTATTAATATTGAGCGACTTTAACATTAATCTTATGGTCGATGGGCCTTTAGCAAATTCTTTCCTAGCCACATTAGAAGGTTTTAACTTGAGGCAAGTTGTTGAACAACCTACAAAAATATCGGATAACTCTGAGACACTCATTGATATAATTATTATATCACTTGCTAGTTTATTGCTAATTGGGAATTTCTGTATCTAAATGTGAAACCAGACAAATTAGTTCGATATTTACGTAATATTGATATAGATGCCTTTAATAAAAATATTGATCTGATGAACTGGGAAGATGTTTTTGATTTTATCAATATCAATGATAAAGTTAGCTATTTCAATGACGTTCTGTTGTCTCTATCTCGTTTGGATCGCGTGGAATATCAGATATATGATCAAATTAAGGAACAATACTTTTAATAAGTGTAAAAAAGTTTCAACATTACGGGAGCAATTGGTCGGGAGAAGGTGACATTTTTTGAACAAAATTTGATAGTTAATAATTCTAAAAATATGTGGAATAATCTTAAAAAATTAAATATTTTAAAACCATCCGCTGGTTCTATTCGCATTTGGCTGATCCTAATAATATTAACACTTTGTTCAGCAATTCTGTAAAAAGTACTCTGGTTGAGCCTGATATTAATCTCCAATCGTATTATTACAATAATAGAATGCACCCAGACGCTCCAACAATGACTTTTCGTAAGGTATCTTCAGATCACATTCTGAAAATACTTTTGAATATGAAATCCACTAGTGTAGGATCTGATGAGATTGGTTTGGACATGGTACGCTTCTGTTGCCCGCGTATTCTTGATGTGCTTATGCACATGCTTAATTTCTGTCTTACTGAATCAGTGTTTCCAATGTCATAGAGGCAAGGACTTATAACTCCCGTTCTTAAAACGAATCCGTTCACTACATATAAGGGTTTAAGACCCATAGCAATACATATCAAAACTGTTGGAGAGACTCATGGTTGAGCAATTGTAGTGTGGATATATATGTGTGTCCACAATATAACAAGATATATTAATATATTATTAAATAATAATATGAACTACATTCTAAGGACTGATAGAATCGATTGATTATTTGAATGATAATAATTTTATATAGTAGCGTTCTTTTTGTTTTGTACATGTCGTGTGCACAGCATGCTACATGTAGCTTTATTTAGACACCGATTGTATTTTACCACTTAAATAATCTGGCTTCAGGAAATAGTTTAGTTGTGCTAGTGCGCTGCTGGACCTGATCGACGATATTTTTGGTGCATTGAATGTAGATAGCTCAACATTGTTAATTTTGCTTGATTTCACCAAGGTTTTTGATATACTTAATCATAGCCTAGTGCTTAGTATTGTAAAATTTATTGGATTGGATGATAAAGCGATTAGATTGTTCAATATTTATCTTTCGGATAGACTGCAATCTCTAAGATTAAATTCGGTACTAAAAAGTAGTAGTTTATATAATTTACTCTTTTTTAGTTACATACAAGTTAGACGTGTCGTCTTGTTGAATGTTTTTAATGGAATAAATTTACATCAAAATATCAACAAAATGGTAACATATGTAGCAATTTGGGTAATTTGATAAAAGTTTATCATTTCTATGTGAAGGTACGCTGTGTACGCTACAGGTACAGTCGGATCCTGTCATTGTTCCATCGGGGGTCTATTCTTGGTCCAGTTTTATACACTATACATATGTACTATATATATGGGAAGGTACTTCCGGAAATGCGTCTTCAATCAAACGCCAGCAAAACTGAGGTAACATGTTTCCATCGAAACAATAAACTTGTCGACAGAAAGCTTAGAATACAATTCGAGGACACATGGTTTACTCACAACAAAACACCAATATACATAAGCGTTACACTTTATAGAAGACTCTCATTTGAAAAACATACATGTAATGGAAAAAGTGAATAAACTAAAAAACGAGGAACAATGTTATATACAAAAGCTCGGTGGAACAACATGAGCCTCCTCTTCTCAACCGCTTAATAGCCTTCATATCCACAAAATCGATCAAGTCAATAACACGATGAGAATGATCTCAGAGGTTATCAAATTTACTCCAGTGGAACGGGTTCCAGTAGTAAATACTTTCATGAGAGAGTGCAAGTAGATCTTGAGCAACCAAAAGCTACTAATACATAAGGAGATTGAGGATGCCAACTACATCTGCCTCCGATCCAGAAATTCACCGATCAAAACAGCAGCCACTGCTACAGATGAAAAATTCATCTTGACTAATGCTTGACATAAATAGATACCAAAGGACAATAATCAGATTCGATGTATTACCCAAAAGCCTCTCGGTTTTGATTTACCACGTAAAACCTGGTAAACTCTAAACAGAACCGGGACCCAGCTTGGAAGATGCGTCTACTTTTTGCATAAATTTGGCAAGAAATTGACGTCTTTTTGTGAATGCGGTGAAAATCAAATCGTGAAACATATTATAGAATAGAAGATTCCCCTAGTACAACCTATGATGGACTACTTGAAGATTTCCAGAGTGAATATCTTACATAAATTAATTACGGAAACAGACATTGTTGCTATTTTGTATTGTCGTGTACTTTATATTCTGATTATGAGTTCTGTTTTCAAAATTGAACTTTCGATAAGTGTAACAATCGATACGAGACCGACACGACGTCACAATCGGTCTTCCTTCCGGAATTCGCAAACAATTGGTGAATCGAATAACTTTTTGTTCTACAGATCTTGATATATAAATTATAAATATAAATTTACATAAAACAGGGATATAAATAGCGATTTAAGAGGTTAGGACAAAATTATTAAAATATGTTATTGTTCATATTTGATACTTACCATCATAATGTCATCAAAATCACTGCTACAACCTTCCTTAATTTTCAACTTTTTTAAAAGTTTATTATAATTTTAATGAACTAATGAAACAGAAAATTCTAAACTGACTGAATTCAGAAAAACCTCCGCGATCTATTTGCTTTCAAGGGTAGTTTACAGCAGGAAAAAAATAAATGTTTGTTTACAAGTCTTCTTCTAACACAATGTGAAATTGGTTGCCTATATTGCTTTAAAAATTTTATGGCATATTTATTTTATTGATGTAGACATAATTATTATTAAATATTTTTATAGAATTAAATCATAATAGCTATAAAATATATTTAACAACACAAAATTAACACAAAAATAATTTGTTGTAATTTTGTTAAAAATAAGATTTTTAGCTTTGTAAAACGATCTTATTCATAAGATAAGAAAAATGTAAATTAAAACCGCAAATTTTAGCGGTAGGAAGTAAAAATAAAAATAAACTCAACTCGTCTATCCAGTAGCGTAGCGTAGTGGAGTGGCACTTTTAAGGGGCGGCAAACTGTTACAATAAATAATATCTTGAGAAAATTTGAAATCAAATTCCAATAACATTTACTCAATTAGAGTCTGCATCTGTATGCCTAGACATAGACCTCGATAGCTTAGAAATAAAGACTGATGATCACAGCATTAGCACTGTCTGCGTTCAAAACCAAAACTTGAACGATTTTGCTGTCGTTCAGCAAAATCGTCCATGTTTTGGTATGTATGCATTAGTGATGGAACGGATAGTGATTTTGCGAAAAGCCGGATATTCGGCATTTCCTTCGGCCGGATATCCGGCATATCTATCCAGGCATTATGGTTATAATTGCTGGTACATTTCAGAAGTGATACTTTATATTGCGACATTATTGATCCAAGATACAAAATGAACTTTTTTGATATTGATCTAACTAACGAAGCAATGATCCTTCAAGACATGAATTTTATAGCAAATCTTGAAAATTATCGATGAAAATTTCAACATCGAAAATATTATCAACACTTCAAATATTGTTTTCTCAAAAACTAAAAGTTATTTTTCAAATAGTGTTGGTTCATTGGAAAGAGGACACTTTTATTAACACTTTGGTATATTTTCATACTCATATTCCAAGAAATGGATTTTATACGAATTTTTAAAACTTAATCGGCGAAAATTGCAAAATTCGAAAAAATTTTCGATCATTTCAAAAATTGTTTTCTCAAGAACTGAAAGTGATTTTTCAAAACGGCTTCCTGCATTAAAAAGAGGATACTTTAATTAATAATTGGCGATATTTCCACAAGGATCTTTCAAGAAATGAATTTTATAGCGAATTTTAAAAATTATCGATGAAAATTGCAACATCGAAAATTTTATCAAAACTTCAAATATTGTTTTCTCAAAAACTAAAAGTTATTTTTCAAATCGTGTTGGTTCATTGGAAAGAGGACACTTTTATTAACACTTTGGAAAATTTTCATACTCATATTCTAAGAAATGGATTTTATACGAATTTTTAAAACTTAATCGGCGAAAATTACAAAATTTGAAAAAATTGTCGATCATTTCAAAAATTTATTTCTCAAGAACTGAAAGTGATTTTTCAAAACGGTTTTTTGAAGAGAAGAAAACTAGACGAAACTGCAACAAGAGATTTTATATATCGTATTGGGATTGTTACAATGAGGTTGCTAATGACAAAGCTGATATAAATAGAGTTGTATTCAATGAAAAAAGTCCTATTGGGGTTGAACTTGATTATTATCTGCAGTGTCCAACACCTAAAAGAGATAGTAATTGCTGTGAATGGTGCAGTATTAACTAATAGGTTTTAATACCCGGCCAAAGCCCGATATTTGGGAACTATCCGGTATCAGGCCAGATTTTAAAAAATTGTCGGATAGGCCAGATAGCGGATAGTTGCCGGATATCCGTTCATACACCGAATGGTTAAAAGATTTGCTGATCTGATGGATTTAATACTTGGTGGAAATTAAATCCTGAGGTTTCAAGTCACGAGCAACCAAAATTATTGCAAATGGAAGGAGTTGGAGTCCAGACTTAGAAAAGGACAAAGTATTAACAAGATAGAGCAAAATTTAGTGACAGAGGAAACAAAAAAATGGCAAGAAAATCTTATCAGAATGTTCGATATTATAAAATTTCTTGCCAAATAAAATTTGGCTTTTTGGCCATACAGAAAACAACATCAGTACTAATAGAGGTATTAATAGTAAATTTACTATATTTATTTACTAATTCTATATAATTTTTGAGTTTTGGCCCTATCATATAAAAATTATGACGACGTTAACATTCAGATAGGAAATTGCTTGTAAAATCAAGTCATTACTTGCTAATATAGGGTGTTCCATCTCAGACGAGCCACCCCGTATATTTCTTATCCCATAGTAATTAGAAAAGTTTCCCGAAACCCGTCGAATGATTTTGTTTGGGGGACATCTTTTGACGTCATTTGAGGCTTGAACGAGCAACCCCCTAAGAGGGGGTGCTTCAACCCCTCAAAATTGAATAGGGGAGAGGGGTTGAGTGATACTTCATTTGAAAGGTCTTGGAAGCCTCTTTACAACGGTGTATGAAAAACGTAAATTTGATGAACCGTTTTCGCCAAAAATCAATTTTTTAGCTCAAATGAGCAACCTTGAATATTTTGGTTATAAATAAAAAAATTGAATTGTTTTATCATGTTGTTTTATTTATCACAATCAAAAAATCAAATCTGCGTTTTTAAATCAAATGTTCAAATTGTCCTCCATTGACTTCCATACAATAATACAATCTTGACTGAAAACCGTCTCTAACATGGTTCAGCATAATTGGAGTTATGTGACGACACTCATTTACAATTCGTTGGCGTAGTTCGTCCAAATTTTCAGGCTGAGTCACAAAAATCTTGGACTTAAGATGTCCCCACAAGAAGAAGTTCAGACGGTTCAGGTCAGGAGAACGGGCAGGCCACTCTATAGAATCTCTTCTTCCAATTCAACGACAGGGGTATTGCAAATTGACGTATTGGCGAACTGGTGCGGCGTAGTGAGGAGGAGCTCCGTCTTGTTGGAAATGCAATTGTTGTTCAAGTATTAGAGGATCGTTTTCTAAATTTTCTGTTATTAACCGATCAATCACATTTTCCAGCATTTCAAGATAAATTTCGCCATTTAAATTATCAGGAATAAACAGAGGTCCAATTGTGTGGTCTCCCAAAATTCCTACCCAAACGTTTAGCTTTTCCGGATTGAGTGTGAGCTTCTCGAAATACATGAGGATTTGTATCGCTCCAAATTGTACAGTTATGCCGGTTAACCTCTCCATTAAGTGAAAAAGTGCATTCGTCAGAAAAGCAAACGTTGTACAAGAAATTTGGGCTATTGTTGATACGCTCGGCCCTAATTTCGCAAAACTCTTGTCTTCGATCCAAATCATCATCATTTAATTCGTGAATTAATATAATTTTGTACGGATGGAACTTGTGTTTATGTAAAATTCTGAAAACGTTAGATTAGCTAATACCGGAAGCTGCAGAAAGTTGTCGTACAGATTGCGTGTTTGGAATACGTTGGACATGTCCCAAGACCGCCACCGCTGCTCCTTCATCATTCACAATTCCAATGTGTACACCATAATTATTTTTTAAATTTTAAACAAATCAGCAAAGTAGTAACTCAACAGATTGATTTAAACGTATTATAACCAGATAAACACCTTCTAAGAACAAACAATGAAGGCAACATGTGGAAATGTTTTGATTTTTTTTTTATCAATGAGTTTGAGAGAATTTATTATTGTATGGAAGTCAATGGAGGACAATTTAAACATTTGATTTAAAAACGCATATACCACTGCATAGAGCAGAAAGTTTTCTAGCGATTTTATAAAGTATAGGAGTTCTTTCCGTGCCATATAAAGAAGTGATTATCCGAAAAGTGATGTAAAGCGTGTCTAAAATGCATCATTAAAGATGTTACTACTTTCTTCTCTAGAAAGAAAAGGTTTCAAAATCTTTTAATCGATTTTTATTCTGCACCGATAGAAATGGCAGAAAATTTCCAATATGAATTTTCATTGTGTTTTAGTGTTTTTTGATCGACGTCGACAAATTTTAAACGAACGAAATCAAGGGTAAAAATTTGTTTCTGATAGATTTGTTGATGTCGTTGCACGAATAATTTTGGTTGCGTTGAAGTAAACGTATTTCACAACATTGCACAATATAACAAAGAACTGAATTTTATACATATAAATAATAAAACCTGTTAATTAAAAAGTACATCACCATAACATGTATATTAACATAAAGAAAATATTTACTTATAAATCATACTGACAATAAGGCAAAACGTGATATGAATTATCAATTATCATGATTCATGATCAATCTTCTTATCGTTTAAGAACTAACAAATATTGTATAATTATTTTATTTTTAATTAAAGATAAAATTATGATTCATGTTTTAAAATTTCAATATTAAAGAATTAAGGTCTTGTTTATAACATGAGTTTAACAAATAGCAGTAGTAGTACAGATATTCACAATTTTAATTTGCAATACCTGTAAATGTGAAAATTGCAAGTTTATCACATTTTATTTGTATTTGTTCTTTATTAATTATACATTTTAGTATCTTTATAGTTTATGGTATTGTTTCTTTACTTTGAATTATTTATCAAAGATTATTTTATCGCTCAGAAAAGGCATATTTTAGATTAGATTGGATGTATTTTAGCTATATCAATTATACATTATGTTTCATTCCTTTTGTTCATATTTAATTTACCTTCATAAATTGTTAAAGATGAATGAAAAGTGTGATTGTGGTAACATTCCGTTGGTAAGTATAGATGTTAGATAATAAGTAGAACATGAATTTGTTGTTGGCTTAAAATTAACGCAACACTTTTTTGAATGTCATAGGAAACACTCGCACGTTCTCAACAGAGTTGTACTACCACTCAAAATAAAGCAAATGATGAAAAAAGTACAGGTAAAAGCATTTAGTGAAACTATTACCAAACATTTCAAGCATAACAAAATTAAAAGAAAAATGTATTTTTCACTACCTTAGGAGTTAAATCTGGATAAATTTCTGTTCTTTGGTACCGGAAAATCACATTCTATCAGAATTATTTTTAATGTAAATTCACCTCCTAATAGTCTAGACAAAAACAAGTCTGCACAAACAAAATTATCACAAAACTAATAGACACTGCGTAATTCTTTGTCATCCTTACGAGGACACAAACAGAATCTTAACCGTGTTGTGAAATTTTTGCTATAACTGTGGGTTGCGTTCTTTTCTGTTCGTGTGCATTTTCTAATTCTAATAATATTCTGATAATTATTTCTTGACTAATGTCTTGACTAATGCAATTCAGGTTTAGTTTTGTGTGCAACATTTTTCAGATTCTTTTACAAAAATTAAAATGGTAATAGTATTTTTTTAACTGCCATTTTTTCGAAGAAAGCTGATAATTGACATAGGGTGTTCCACATGAAAAAAACTCAGAATTTACGTAGCATCCATAAATGCAACAAAAAAATGGGGGCTCCTATTTTAAAATGTCAACTTAGGCATGGTATCTCAATTTTGGGACACCTGTACATTTCAATTTTAACTCAAAAAATGCGCGTTAAAAAATATAACCTAGATATCCAAGAATTTTTTCTGGAACAATATACCTCAAATTTTTATCGAATTGATTTCATGCTTTATGTGCACAGTGTATACAGGTGTCTCACATAACTAGTTCGTTAGTGATGGAACGGATAGTGATTTTGCGAAAAATCGGATATTCGGCATTCCCTTTGGCCGGATATCCGGCACATCTGTCCGGCCATTATGGTTATAATTTCTGGTGTATTTCTGAATTTTCTCTTAACTCTAACAAGACGATACTTTAATTAATAATTAGCGATATTTCCACAAGGATCCTTCAAGAAATGAATTTTATAGCGAATTTTGAAAGTTATCGATGAAAATTACAACATCGAAAATTTTATCAAAGCTTCTAAAATTGTTTTTTCAAAAACTAGAAGTTATTTTTCAAAACGGGTTGGTTCCTTGGAAAGAGGACACTTTTATTAACACTGGGAGATTTTCATACTCATATTCCAAGAACTGGATTTTATACGAATTTTTAAAACTTAATCGGCGAAAATTGCAAAATTCGAAAAAATTTTCGATCATTTCAAAAATTTATTTCTCAAGAACTGAAAGTGATTTGTCAAAACGGCTTTTTGCATTAAAAAGGGGATACTTTAATTAATAATTGATGATATTTCCACAAGGATCCTTCAAGGATCCACTACTAGGGTACACTATTTGTACAGTTTTGAAGTTTTGGTATGGGTTGTTCTTTCGAAACTTTCGATCTCAAATATTTTCAAGATGGCTGCTACCTCCGATCTACCGGAAGTAGACCATAACTTCGTTATTTTAAATGGAACGCTACAGTTTTTATTACACTTTTTAATTGTACATAAAAAAAATATTTCATAAAAGACTTTCATAAAAGTTATTAAATAGGAGTAACTTTTATCAAAGTCAACATATTTTTTGGCATATAATTAAAAGGTGTAATAAAAACTATAGCATTCTATTTAAAATAACGTAGTTATGGTCTACTTTCGGTAGACCGGAATTGCGACCATCTTGAAAATGTTTTAGATCGAAAGTTCCGAATGAACAACCCATACCAAAATTTCACACCTCTATGAATAGTGGAACCTTAAAATGTTTTAACGAACCAGCTACGTGAGACACCTGTATATATTATATTATATAACTATATATACTTATTGTTAGGGTACATGAAATAAATGCACCATGTTTTCAGAGTTACATTAGCTTAAATATCCAACCCAATCCACAACAAAATCTTAGTTTCGCTATTATTTTCAAATATTCGTTTCAAAATCCTAAATTTTGTTTTAAGTACTGTTTATACAGTGTGTCCCCGGATAGGTGAAACGACTCTTATAAAAGGTAAAATTTTTTCTATATTAATTGTAATTTTTTGGGGTTTAGCCCTGCTTGATGAAAGACTAATTTTGAACATATTTTCAACTTTTAAAAAACAAGTGAGTCTTGAGAGTGAAAGAAAAACTTTTTTTGTAACAGGTAAAGTACCTTTTCTGTTTACAGTACGTGAAAGTGTTACTAAGAAATTTTGTTCAGAATGAAAAACTATGCCCATATGCAAATTTTCGAAATGATCGGCCTACTTTGATAAAAATCCATATCAAACAATTTTATTTCTAAAAAGACTGCCATGGAAAAACAAAATTGCTTTCCTGTCAATGTTAATCTGCCAAACTGTAATTTAGTAAACTTAAAGTGTTTTTAAAATACAATGTTCACATTAGAGGAAAAAGTTTACGTGATTCAATGTTATGAAACCGGGGAAAAACCGATAAATATGGCTATTACTTTATTTAGTGGAAAATTTTCAAATACTGGAATTAAAAGAAGTACTTGTTGGCGTTTAATCAAAAGATTTCTTACAGCAGGAAGTATTCACTCTAAAAAAAATTATGATGAAACTGATTAACTGTTTTCTTTTGTGGGCGAATACACAATTAATTTTTTGTGAACATTTTAACAACGGTTTGTTTATTTCTTCCGAACAATTTGAATCTCAAAACAAAAAATCTTGATAAAGTATCTAATCTTATAAAGAGGCCGATGATTCCGAAAATTTGCATATGGCCATAACTTTTTATTCTGAATAAAATTTCTTAGTAACATTTTACCATACTGTAAACAGAAAAGGTACTTTACCTGACACACAAGAAGTTTTCGCTTCAGTGTCAACACTCACTTAAACTTTTAAGACTTGAAAATATGTTTAAAATTAGTCTTTAACTAAGCAGGGCTGAACCCCAAAAGATGACAATTAATATCGAAAAAAAATTACATTTTATAAGAGTCGTTTCACCTATCCGGGGACACACTGTAGATGAAATAAATCCTAGCTAACCATTAAGGAGATATTATAGTGGTATTAAACATTTTCAACTTCATTTAGTTGTAATTAGATTTTTGGCCAGATATTTATAACTTCCTAACACTTTCTCCTGCAAATCTAATCACTTCTTTCTCCTGCAAATCTAATCAAATGCCAATCTTCGCATTCATGTTCCCAAATACAATTTTATCATTTCTAGAGGTTTATTTGCGCTTTTAGCTTGTTCAGTGTCTTCACGTACTATGTTCCAATAAACTAATTAACCTGCTTATAGGGTCTAATTTAATGCTTATAGGCTCTAATTTTGGCTCATCTTTTATCCACATCCAGATTTAACTTGAATTTTAATGAAATATACAAATTTTCTTTATTAAATTCTTAAGCATTTTCTTATCAATATAATTTAATATTTAGGTTCTAAAAAACTTTCAAGGGGTAATTCCGCTATGAACAATTACCAACAAAGACGCTTACATCGTGCTGTTATGGCCAATGATCTTAAATTAAGTCGATCGCTAATTCAAAATGGAACAGATGTTAACGCTAGAAACTTTTGGTCAGAAACACCATTACACATCGTCTCTACCAATGGAAACCTTGAACTGGGCAAATTGTTAATCGAAAATGGAGCGGATGTTAACGCAAAAACCAATTATGAATACACCCCTTTGCTAATTGCTTGTATTAATGAAAATATTTATGTGGCTCGACTCTTACTGGAAAATGAAGCAGATGTTAATGCTAAAGATAAAGTTGGGCAAACATCTTTACATATAGCCGCAATGTATGGAAATATCGAATTGGGTAGCTTGTTATTGGAATATAAAGCAGATATTAAAATTAAGGATAATAATAAAATTATACCTTTAGTTTTAGCCGCTACACATAAAAAGTTAAATTTTTGTCAGTTTCTAGCCAAAAATGCTGTTAACACTAGGCCCAAAAATAGACACTTACAATTTTATCCTATTCGTGAAAATATTGTTGTGAGTCAACAGTTAATCGAAAATGAAACGAATATTTGTGCCAAGAACAACGACGAATCATCCTTACAATTTACCACAATAAACAATAACCTTGAATTTAGTCGTCCACTTTTTGACGACGATTACGCTAAGAATTATTGGACAGAAACACCACTACACATTGCAGCTAGCAATGGAAATATTAAATTAGTTCGACTACTAATTGAAAATGAGGCAGATGTTAACGCTAAAACCAACTATAATTACACACCCTTATTATTTGCTGCTATAAGTGGAAGTACTGTTGTATTAAGATTGCTACTGGAAAATCGGGCGGACGTTAACGCTGAAGATGAATTCGGCCACACATCTTTACACCTTGCCACTTTATTCAATAATGTTAAATGTTGTCAAATACTAATTGAAAGTGGAGCGGATGTTAACGCTAGGACATATTCGTTAAAAACGCCTTTACACATCGCCGCCACGCGAGGAAGTATTGAAATAGGACGATTGCTACTGAAAAATGGAGCTGATAGTAGAGCCAAGGATAATAGAAAAAAATCCCCTTTAATTGTTGCCACTAAGTATAAAAATGTTCAATTTTGCCGCTTGCTAATCGAAAATGCTTCAAATAATAATACTAACTCGAACTGTTTAAGAAACTTAAACCTTACCCGTATTGTCCATCGAAACATTAATAATGACCAACAGCTAATTGAAAATAATCAAGCAAGACTTAATCGTCAACAAACACCTTTTCACATTTCAACTATGCGTCGAAATATTGAGTTAGGTCGATTATTACTGAGAAATGGAGGGAATATTAACGTTATAACTAATCATAGAGAAACACTCTTACATTTTGCGGCAAGTGAAGGAAACGTGGAATTGGGACACCAGTTACTCAAAAATGGATCGAATGTTAACGCTAACAATATCTACGAACAAACGCCTTTACATATTGCTGCTATACGTGGTAATATTAAATTTGGACGTTTGCTACTGGAAAATGGTGCGGATCTTACAGCTAAGGATAATAACAACAGAACACCTTTACTCGTTGCCATTAAGCACAAAAATATAAAATTTGTTTTATTCCTAATCAAAAATGCTTTAAATGTTTACACTAAGACTAACTCTGAATAAACACTCTAACGAAAGGTATAGATTTTTAACTCATCTTAATAACATTCGATGCATACTCAGTATAACCAACAATCGTGTTCTTTCGTAACTCAACGTTTCATTCGTGAGTTATGTGTTATCATTATACCATTCCCCACATCTGTTAAGCTCTGTTTGAACTCGTACATCCTGGACCTTGGTTTATCTCAACGCCATGTAAGTTTTTGAACTAAGTGCATCGTTAATGATATACTCTTATCGTTTTGCCATTTGTTGGCATGTATTTATTTCTCCAAATAAGATCTTATGATAATCTTTCCGATTTATTTGCATATGATTTTGTTCATTACAATATTGCAGAGAGCTGGACACAGGTTGCCTCATTCATTCATATGTACTGGACTCAGCGTTGCCAACCTATGCCGACCAAATGTCGGTAAAATCAATGGTAAAAAATCGGTAGGTTTAAATACAAAGGCAGAAAATGTTGTTTGGTAAAAGTTAATAAATGAATTTATATACATATACAGGTGACCCATATCTTCTGCATTAGAACATTATACGGTTCCTGTGCGGTTATTATCGCTTCAGAATAATATATCCTGTATATAAGTTACGAGTTACACACGGGAGATTGTATTTTTTTAAAATCGCGGGATGATGTTACAAAAAACTTTTAAAATAAAATTTGTAACAAATTTTATTCTTAACAATTTTGGTCTTTTACAGTTTTGCTCTTAGATGGGTCAATATCAAGCAAAATACAAAAATATGAAAAATTGTTTCTTTTTCAAGTTATTAAAGAAAACGCTTAGGAATCGAAGCATGTTACAAAAGAACTTTTATAACAAAAATTGTTGCAAATTTTATTGTTAACAATATTGCTCTATTGCACTTTTGCCCTTAGATACGTCAATATCGAGATAGATACGAAAATATGAAAATTTTATGAATTTATTGCTTTTTCAAGTTATTAAAGGTAATAACTAGAAATAATATAATAGGAGCATGCTATAGGAAATCTTTTATAACAAAAATTGTTGCAAATTTTATTGTTAACAATATTGCTATGTTGCACTTTTACTCTTAAATGCGTCAATATCGAGATAAATACGAAAATATGAAAATCGTATGAATTTGATGCTCTTTCAAGTTATTAAAGGTAACACTGGAGAATCGGAGCTTGCTATAAGAAAACTTTCATAACAAAACTTATTGCAAATTTTATTGTTAACAATATTGCTACCTTGCACTTTTACTCTTAGATACGTCAATATCGAGGTAGATACGAAAATATGAAAATTTGATGAATTTGTTGTTTTTTCAAGTTATTAAAGGTAACCCTTAGCAATCGTAGCAAGTTACAAAAAAACTTTTAGCACAAAAGTTGTAATAAATTTTATTGTTAACAATATTGCTCTCTTGTACTTTTGCTCTTAGATACGTCAATATCGAGATAGATACGAAAATATGAAAATTTGATGAATTTGTTGCTCTTTCAAGTTATTAAAGGTAACACTTGAGAATCGGAGCTTGCTATAAGAAAACTTTTATAATAAAAATTGTTGCAAATTTTATTGTTAACAATATTGCTATCTTACACTTTTGCTCTTAGATACGTCAATATCGAGGTAGATACGAAAATATGAAAATTTGATGAATTTGTTGTTTTTTCAAGTTATTAAAGGTAACCCTTAGGAATCGCAGCATATTACAAAAAAACTTTTAGCACAAAAGTTGTAACAAATTTTATTGTTAACAATATTGCTCTCTTGTACTTTTGCTCTTAGATACGTCAATATCGAGATAGATACGAAAATATGAAAATTTTATGAGTTTATTGCTTTTTCAAGTTATTAAAGGTAACACTTGGGAATAGGAACATGCTATAGGAAATCTTTTATAACAAAAATTGTTGCAAATTTTATTGTTAACAATATTGCTATGTTACACTTTTACTCTTCGATGCGTCAATATCGAGATAAATACGAAAATAAGAAAATTGTATGCATTTGTTGCTCTTTCAAGTTATTAAAGGTAACACTTGAGAATCGGAGGTTGCTATAAGAAAACTTTTATAACAAAAATTGTTGCAAATTTTATTGTTAACAATATTGCTATCTTACACTTTTGCTCTTAGATACGTCAATATCGAGATAGATACGCGTTTACTTATGACGCGTATTGTATATACCAACGATCTGACAACGTTGCTCGAGCGACATTGCCATATCGTTGGTATATATACTTTTATGCAATATAAGTAGGGTATTCCTATAAGGTACAATTTCTGTCGCAATTGTATTGATTTTAAGTACGATGTGTTTCATAATATTTTGTTAAAATTTTGAAAATCGGTAGATTAAGTGGTATATCGGTAGACTACCTTCTATATCGGTAGATCTACCGATAAATCGGTAAGGTTGGCAACGCTGACTGGACTGCTCTTTCCAGTTTTAGCATTGAGTACTGATTACTAAATTTTAAACTACTGAAATGTTGGTTGGTGAGGCAACCAACATTTCACCAAAGATTGGAACACCTCCGTTATAAATTGTGTTCCCAAAAAAGAATTATCACCAGGGTCCTATTTTAGAAGAATTTAGAAGTGGCGGAAAGGTCAGCTCTTAGATGCATCACACGTATCCGACACCCGCAAACCACTCTTCAATCTATTGACACCTGTAAAAACCTCTTCTCTTACTACCCAATCCAGCCACTACTTCCTTCATCTTCTACGTAAACTATCACGAAACTAAGAAACAAGATTCAAACCAAGATTATCCTGGTCAGAGAGACTGTCGATAGCCCTTGTAATAACGTTTAAATAGCATTATTACTCCTAACCTACTTAATATTAATAACATTTATTTAGCTTTGCAATTAATCATATCTTATACCCTTTTGGGCCAACGTTTTTTTATAGACATATATTTTTTTCTTTCTTATTGTATAAATTTAGTTTGCTAGTCTAAACAAACATCTCAAATATGCAGAGTTAAATTTAAAAAGTCATAACAACGATGTTTATAGAAAATAATAAATTATTACTATTTAATTAATATTATAATAAATTATAGCACGTTAAATCTTCATTAAATTTCCTTTAAAATGTTCTTTATTTAATACTGATTTCTCAATTCGTTCTTAAGATACGCTTTTTTAAAATTTATGTTTCATGACTACAACAATCAAACATAATGCACTATAACAAATTTGCTTTAAATTGTTGTAGTAATTAACAAAAACGCAAAAGACTCTCAAATTGAACAATAAGTACGATGTTCGAGAATCATTAAATTATAGTAAAAAGCAGAATAAACCACCATATAACACACTAAGGTTTCATCAACTAATAAAAGTCGAATCCAAGTTATTCAACAGAAAAATACAGTGAAAAATGTATTAATGTCGACGAGAACAGAAGGAGCAGACATCAGTGTGTTCGTAAAGTAACGGATATATTCGATAAAATCATTATAAACGATTTATGGAAAAGTCCCTGAAACGGGTATAAACATTTAAATTTTTTGCGATTGTTTAGTGTAGATTTTAAATATCTTCCGCCATTTTTAAGCGAGTTATGACGTCATCGGTATTTTTTTCAAATGGCAATCCATTTTCCAATTCCATTTTTATTACGGAATATGAAAGAAGATTTTTTTCTAAATCTAATACAGCCAATATTAATATTAAATAAAATTCGTTTTTGCAGTTAAATGGATTTTTATTTAAATTTTTCTCTCAACCGGTTTCGCTATGTATTTACAGCATCTTCAGGAGATTACCTATTTTAATACAAATATTCTTATGTAAATATTAAATTAACATGTTACATTATATTATATTATATAATTTTTTAATTAAGGTGGAGATTTTGATGGTTATGGGTAGGATGTAGAAGGATAGGTATGATGTCCATGGGATCCAGAGTTATTGCGATAACAAAATGACATCTTGTTTTGAAATTCTTGTTTAATCTGGGGGGTATTATTAGGGTAGGTTGTAATATAGAATCTATAGATTATTAAGGTAGGGGTTATAGGGGTGATGTCCATGGGATTCAGAGTAGTGCGATTTCAGAACGACATCTTATTCTTAAATCCTCGTCTCTCTGGGGGATATTTATTGGGTAGAGGTAAATTATAGATTCTGTACATATTGTTAGGGATTGTTATGGGATGAGGATAGGGTGGAAAGGATGGGGGTGATGTCCATGGGACCCAGATTAGTGCGACTTCAAAATGACATCGTGTTTTGAAGTCCTCCTCTATCTGGGGGTTTACGGGGTGGGGTGTAGGGTTGTTTTAGGAAAGAATAGAGTGGTTTGTATGTTGTCTGGATTTGGTCATTAAGACATGCCAAGTCAGGGTTATTATTGATGAATTTTTTGATTTCATATCCTTCAAGAATTTCCATGAGATATCCTTTGTTAATGTGATGTAGTATTTTTGTATTTTTATCTTCATCGAACTCGTGGTTAAGATTAAAGGTTATGTGTTTGCCAAAATTAGAATTATGTTTTATTTTGTGTTCCCTAATTCGTAGTTTAAGGGCTCTGCCTGTCTCTCCGATGTAGGTTGCATGACAGGTGTCACATTGTAGTTCGTACACTCCATTATCATCTAATTTGTTTATTTTGTCTTTATTGTTTATGAGTAGATTAGCCTATAGTTTTATTTGGTTTATCCTTGCAATGTCCTTGGTTTATCCGCAATTATAATGTCATATTGTTTCATGGTTTGTTTTATTTTGTTATTAATGTTTCTTTGGTGTGTGATGGATCTGTAGTTTTTGATTTTTTGTGTCTGTTGATTTAGTAGTGTTATTTAAGTTCTGTCTGTTTTGATATTTATGGATCACTTTATCTATTACTTCTTCTGGGAATGAATTATTTATGGCAATGTCTTTTATTATCTTAATTTCTTAGTTAAATTTTTCTGTATTCAAATTTGAGTTATAGGCTCTATGAAGTGAATGTATGATCTGAATGCTGCCATTTTATGGGTTATGTTATGAAAAGAATCGTATGGGATCGTAGGTAGTAAGGAAGGTAGGTATCATACCTATCCTTCTACATCCTACCCATAACCATAAAAATCCCCACCTTAATTAAAAAATTCCCCCCCCCCCTAATTTTAAAGTGGTTTTAATAATTAATTCAGGAACTGTTTTGACTTTTTGTGTTATCTTTTCAAATTATATACGAAACGAATATATATACGAATATAAAAAGAAATACCAAATGACTCATTCTATAGGACACTTTTATAACAAAATGACGTAAGTTTTTTAAATATTAATATAATGGTTCATATAATGTAAATGCTAATTTGAGTCAATCTTCATAACAAAAAATAATAATAAAACAGTTAATTTTAAAACCGATGTAGGAAGAATAGGGGCACATTATGCGGATATTTTAAATAAATTAGTGATATAATAGAATATGGGAGAGAAAACAGGTTTCGGACAAAGGAATACAATTGTTATCTGACCTTGTATGAAAATTTCTCTTAGACTTGATTCGTAAGCATGATAAGATGTATCGGNTACGGGCGTGATTCTAGCTGACTTCCATCTCTGAGGGAAAATCGAAGCAGTTATAGAGCGATTAATAATGTACATCAACGGTTTAGCTAACGCAAATCGTACATCACGTACCAGAAAACTAGGTATTTGGTCTTCACCCGCTGTGAGTTTGGAGCTAAAACTCCTCATTACAGCAATTATCTCCTCCTCGGTTACCTGATGGATATTAAACATTGGCAACGATTTTGCTCGATATTTTTTTAACCTGTACCAAATTTCAACGCTCTACCATAAATGGTATTGAAAATATTTAGAAAAATGTGTTAAAATGTCTGTACTTTAATGGCCCATATCTTAGCCATTTGAAGACTTTCATAATAATTTTTTTTCACATATCGTCATCATTTTTGCTCTAGTATATGAGGTTAATTTTATGCCCCGAGTCACCGAAACACCTGTATATTCGTTCGATACCTATGGCTCCGTTATTATTGATTTTAGGAAAAATGTGTAGGGTATTACATGTTTAATAAACCAGTCTAACTGATTTTTTTATTTAAGCAATAATTTTTGAGTTATAACACAAACTTGTGATATTTCTAATGGAAACCATAGTTGGCCATGACTTTATAAAAAAGGCCTTTTCTCAACAATTCTAATGATATACCACTTGACATGGATTTTATTAATAAATAAATTATAGCCATTTATTCTTTTAATTTGCAAACTGTTCAGGTAGTATGCTATGGATATAATTGACAGATACGTTTGGTTATGACAGCTTAAGGCAAACGTAAGTTTTCATGTTTTGGTACCGTTAGCTTATTATGTGATGGTGCCCCATCGTGTTGAAACCATTTAAGCAAATGACGTATCTGCAGGAACAATTCATCTAACATATTATCGAACTCGTTCTATAGAAAGTGAAGATAATGATTTCCGTTTAACGTATCATAAAAAATGTACGGACCAAGAATTCTTGAACAAATGACACCGTACCAAACATTAAATCCAAACTTAACTTGAGGTCTCCTCTCTTGAACATGGTGCGGATTTTCCTGCATCCATAAATGTTGATTATGTCTATAAAACATGCCGCAGTTTGTAAATCGTGTTTCATCTGTCCACAAAACTTTAATCCAAGCTATGATCAGCTTCACACATGTTAATAAACCAAGAAAATATTCTGCCCGCTTATTGTAGTGATCTGGGGGTAGTGTTTGTGAAACTGCCATTTTATATGAATGAAATATATGCTTTTTTAGTTCTCTTACGACAGTACGTTGCGACGTGCCTGCTTCAGATGCAACTTGTGTTGAAACCGATGCATCTTGATGGATTCGTGGTAATACATTTACTTCTGTTTAGAGGTAACAAAGGTTTTTTGTGAGGTTTGCACTTTTACTGATTAGTAAAAAATCTTGTATTAAATATAATGCGTCTCTTTGTTTACATGTTTCGCCTGTCCTAGCAGGCATCTTCAGAATAAAGAATAAGGTACAAGTTGAAAATAAAATTTTTGAATAGCGGAAACTATTATATTGTTGAACTAATGGAAAAATTCTTTTTTAAAAATTACAAATGGACAGTTTTTGGAGATAAAACATTCTTTACAATCTGTCATGGTAACGTGACAATCTGTATCTTCAACTTGTACCTTACTCTTTATTCTGAAGATGCCTGCTAGGACAGGCGAATCATGTAAATAAAAAGACGTATTATATTTAATACAAGATTTTTAACTAACCAGTAAAAGTGCAAACCTCACAAAAAACCTTTGCTACCTCTAAATTAAAAAACTGGTTAATAATGGACTACAACACCAACTTCGACTACATTTACTTCTGTCTTGCTTCCTTAATAATAATAATAATAACAATAAACAAATTTTATTGCCGTAAAAGAACAAAGGAAAATTGTACATTATTATAATTATCCTATATTAGCGGTAGTGTAATAAACAAAAAAGCAAAGATGATTATAACAATGACAGTGACAGTGGAAAACAAATTATAAATTCAATTCTGACAAACGGAACGATTTATCGCCAAAGACGATATCTTCCAATCGACCCAGTCTAAACTATATTACAATAATACCACCAGATATACAGAATAGTAAGTAATTAACGCGGCCTTGTAAATACATAATCATCTTCACGCATAATTAAAACCAAAAAGCGAAAAAGAAAAAAAAAACAAACAACAAAAAGGAGGGAAGAAAAGTCTAAGAAATGCACAGAGTAACAAAGCAGAAAAGAAAGAAGGTGAATAAGGAACATAGGAAAGAAAGTAGAAAAGAAGAAAAGGAAGTAAAATATTACAAGATCGCAATTTGACGGGAGAAGAGGAAATGTGTAAGACAAGTCTTGAAAGATGACAGGGTTGGAGCGTTTCTAATATCCATGGGGAGACCATTCCAGAGGGATATGGCGTACAGCGTAAATGACCTTAGTTGGTTTACAGAAAGAACCATACTCGCCCAACTTATCAGCCTCTTAAAAGTAGGTAGAGAAGGCTTGCGACGATCAAAATATTGTTCAAAATACTGATCTGCAGCTTGTATTGCATTTTTATAGCATAAAATGTAACAGTCAATGATATCACGCTTTTCTTGATTAGAAAAATTCATATTGATTATAATTTACAAAACCTCAATCAACGTTAAGCTGTCACAACACACCAAACGTATCTATCAATTGTTTCCATAGCATACTACCTGAACAGATTGTCAATTAAAAGAATAAATGGCTACAATTTATTTATTAATAAAAATATCTATGTCAAGTGGTATATCATTAGAATCGTTGAGANGATGGCGCGCCACTACACTTCAAGAAGCTTTACTAAATCAGTTTTTGACACTCAGGGAATTGTTTAGAATAATTGGTTACCATAGTTACTCATGGCTACTGCTATTTTTATCATTATACAAATTTGAAGTAATTAAACTTTAACGTAATTTTTCTCGAAAATTTTCTTATGTAACCAATATTAATATTGACTGTACTAGATCCAGAAAAAAATCCTTTTTCATATTCCGCAATAAAAATGAGGGATTGCCTTTTAAAAAAATATCGATGACGCCATAACTCTTAAAAATTTGAAATCTACACCAAAAAATTGCAAAAAATTTAAATCTTTAGACCCGTTTCAGGGATTTTTCCATAAACCGGTTATTATGATTTCGCCTATATCCGTTACTTTACGGACACACTGTATAGTAACAAAACAAAAACTCAGAAGAAATCTGGGTAGCTACAGTTTCCACGACGAACGTAAATGATGTCAGAAACGCCAGAAAGAAAAAATGGAGATTATAGAGTAAAGAGAAAGAAAGAGGCAGAATAAAGAAAAGCGTAGATAGCAGAAAGCATCATAACGAAAAGAAAAATTCCGTAGTTAAGGTAACAACACTGAAACAAATTATGAACTCGGAAATGTTAGAAAGGATAGAAAAATCCTCCTGAACGACGTTAGAAGGAAAAGCGTACAATTTCTAAAACGCTTTTCATCGGCACAGCTCAGCAAACATTTAACCAGTAAAACGACAGAATACTCGCACGAACGGTTCAGGAAGCGAATGAGTGAGGTCAGGACGTTTCCCGAACGGGTCATGCTACTCAGAATATGGACACCGTTATGTTTTATGAATCAGGGCGTCAACATCAAGTTCCAAAACTGCCTTGATGAGATTCTGATGAAGGAAGTACTTTCTTGGAGCTAGTTTCACTTCAACAGACGTCCTTGGACATTCCAACAGGACTCAACGCAATCGAAATATACCTCCCACAAGAATGTCGACAGTCTAAAGCGCGCCCTTCGGAAGGCATGGGACGATCTCGACTTCAAGTACCTCTCCGCCATGGTGGGATGGATTTCCCAAGCGTCTGTGGGCTTGTGTGAGGGCGAAGGGTGGATACTTCGACCTTTGAGTGTATATTGTTGTTAGTTAATGTTTGAATAAAATTTTTGCCAAATTTCATGTCGCTATGTGCTTCTGTTCTGTTTCTTTCAATAAAAGTACATTGGTAGCGGATCTTTTGACAGATTCAATCATCAAAGTTTTTGTAAGAAACCTAAGGCAATAGTAAAATTTAAATCTTGACAAGTCTCAGAAATTTACGTATGCCAGCAATTCTGTCAATAATGATAGTTATACTCGTAGAGTACTGATGTGGCGAACAAGCACATATAGAAAAACTCGGGTAGCATACAAAAAGCTATAGAAATTGCTTTAAAAGAAAGCATAGAGGAAGTTAGCGTTCTGGATTTGAAAGAAAATGAGATAAACTGATATTGAAAGATGAAGAAGTATGATAAGTAATACCAAAGAAATCCATATAATACTGAAGAAAATCTGGTGAAATCAGAAACGCCACAATGATATGAAAATGGAATACAGAAGAAAGTGTATAAAAAGCTAACGAAGATGGAAAGGTAATAAACTCAGTAGATACCGCACCTCAGGAAGTCTTTTACTAGCTGTAGCATACTGTATGAAAAAGTATAATGTAAAACACCATATTGTAAAGACTCACGATTCACAATCGTATAAAGAATGTATATATTTGATATAAACATGATATTAGCTGAACTAAAGCCTAATGTTAAAATTGTTATTGCAGTTTGAGTTCCCTTTTGGCCGATCTGCTGGATACTATTCGAGTATCACCGGAAATATCTATTGTTCATTGTTTCTATTTTTATATTTATCGTTCCATTTTATATCAATTAATTTTTGTATATATTTTTGTGTATTATCTAGAGAAAACATTCAATATAGATTGTCATATAGCAACAGAAGATCCCTTTAACATAAGTGTTATTCACTTTAATGATAATATTGTTTTTATTAAATAAAAATTGTTTCAAATAATTTTGATAATTATTTTAAAGATAAGATTAAAGTTTGATTTTCATTATTAAAACATAGTGTGTAGTGTGCATAAAACTAACTTTCTAATAAAAGAACGAAAAATGAATGAAAATAGCGGTAGTGACACAGAATCCGAAACACTCAACGATCTTCAACCAATGTCTGCTGCTGCTGAAGTTGAGACTGGTGGTAAGGCATAAATATCTAATATACACCTATCTATTCACCATAAACCTATCTTTCAAAGTATTTATGAAATTATGTTTATATCTTTTTATTTTTTTTTTTAATAAAATATATTTTTTCAATAATAAACTTTTCATATGTATACATGAAGTTTCCCTAACTCGCATTGCTAAGAGAGCGGAAGAAAATTTCGAGCTAGAATGAATTCGAGTTAGAGAAAAATTACTTGAATTTCAGTTCTAAAGAAAAAAATGAGAAATGTGCTTAATAATATGTACTAATACCTATATTTAATCTTTCAACTAGTTCTATAAAAAATATACAAAAATCCAGCGCTGAATAACAATTAAAACAGGAATTAACACTAAACCCAGAACTAATAACAAACACTCTAGAAACTTTATAGGTCTATACTCTATTTTTTAATTCGAAGGAGTGTTTTCAAATTGAAGCACCAAAAGGAAGGGTTGCTATTGGACAGTTTTAAGCAAAAATTACACATTAAAATTAACATTCGGATTTAGTTGCACGTCTTTCAAGATTGCTAAACCCGAATGATTCTAGTTATAGATTTTGTGTTAGTTCTAGTGATAGTGCTGGTGTAAAGCTAGAACGAACACTATACCTAGAACTAAAATCATTTGAGTTTAGCCGCACGTTTCTAAAGACGGCTGAACTGTAATGATTCTAGTTCTAGTTATAGTGTTAGTTCTACATAATAACAGTGCTAGTGTAAAACTAAAACTACCGTTAGACCTAGAACTAGAATCATTTGGGTTTAGCTGCACGTTTCTAAAGACGGCTAAACTCTAATGATTCTAGTTCTAGTTATAGTGTTAGTTCTACATAATAACAGTGCTGGTGTAAAACTAAAACCAACACTAGACCTAGAACTAGGTAGAATCATTCGGGTTTAGCCGTCTTTAGAGACATGGGGCTAAACCCGAAATGTTTCTAGTCTTAGGTCTAGTGCTAGTGTTAGCTTTACTTTTAGTTGTTATTCAGCGTTAGATTGTTCTACATTTTTATTGAACTAAAACTAGAACTAACACTAGACCCAGAAAGTTTCTAGTGTCTTTGTTTCTAGTTCTAGGTCTAGTGTTAGTTCCCGTTTTAATTGTTATTCAGCGCTGGATTGTTGTATATTTTTATACAGGGTGAGTTTTTTCCATGTTTAGTATGAAGATCTCGAAAACTGGCGGAGATAGAGAGACGATTAAATAGTGAAAGAATTGCAGTTTCATGAACTCAATTTAATGAGCTTTTTATTTTTTGGATAAAATGCATGGCTAACTTGATATCTCGAAAAAACCGTATTTTTGTTATATCGTTCGATACCTATGGCTCCGTTATTATTGATTTTAGGAAAAATGTGTAAAGGAAAAATTTGTAGGGTATTACATGTTTAATAAAGCAGTCTAACTGATTTTTTTATTTAAGCAATAATTTTTGAGTTATAACACAAACTCGTGATATTTCTAATGGAAACCATAGTTGGCCATGACATTATAAAAAAGGCCTTTTCTCAACGATTCTAATGATATACCACTTGACATAGATATTTTTATTAATAAATAAATTGTAGCCATTTATTCTTTTAATTGACAATCTGTTCAGGTAGTATGCTATGGAAACAATTGATAGATACGTTTGGTGTGTTGTGACAGTTTAAGACAGAAGTAAATGTAGCCGAAGTTGATGTTGCAGTCCATTATTAACCAGTTTTTTAATTTAGAGGTAGCAAAGGTTTTTTGTGAGGTTTGCACTTTTACTGGTTAGTAAAAAAATCTTGTGTTAAATATAATACATCTCTTTACTTACATGTTTCGCCTGTCCTAGCAGGCATCTTCAGAATAAAGAGTAAGGTACACTCCATTTTAACCTGTAGTGTTGTTCAGTATCGTCCACTTTACATCTTTATTTCTCGTTATTTTAGTTTTTAAATCATTTTATATTGTGACTTTTTTATTATTTATTTGACTATTTAGCTGATGATGATAAGTAATTATCGAAACCGGTACTAAGTATATTTATTAGAAAACTGAAAAAGAGCTCTTTTAATTTTTACCTTATTTTAAATCATACACCTCAGTGATTATGGATTTACTAGAAGAGAAGAAAGTAAGGTACAAGTTGAAGGTACAGATTGTCACGTTACCATGACAGATTGTAAAGAATGTTTTATCTCCAAAAACTGCCCATTTGTGATTTTTAAACAGAATTTTTCCATTAGTTCAACAATACATATGTATAATAGTTTCCGCTGTTCAAAAATTTTATTTTCAACTTGTACCTTACTCTTTATTCTGAAGATGCCTGCTAGGACAGGCGAAACATGTAAATAAAGAGACGTATTATATTTAATACAAGATTTTTTACTAATCAGTAAAAGTGCAAACCTCACAAAAAACCTTTAAATTACCTCTAAATTAAAAAAACTGGTTAATAACACAGGCCGACAAATTTTTAAACCAGAGACCAGACTATATCTTTCAAATAATTTTCGATACCCTGAATCCGAATCTGACGTCAGAATTGCTTCACCACCTAAGATTTTCAAGATATCTTACCTAAAATATGCGAAAAACACGATTTTTCAGCACATTCAAGGCTGAATTTACATCAAAAGATAATTTTTCTCCACAGAAGTCATTATGCCATTTAAAACTATTTCTCTGCCCCCTTAAAATCTTATATTATTCATTTAAATATTTTTCTTGATCTCTGAGAAATTGTCCCCTAAAACTAAGAAATTCATCATGTTTGAAATAACATCTTTTTATTTTCCAGTTTTATTTACAAGTTTTAAAATGGTGAAAATGTTAAAATGTGTTCAGGTAAAGTGACACTTGCGGTCAAGCGATTTCGCTAAAATTCAATATATGGTAATTTTTTATCATTTATTAGATGTATACGAAAGTATATGTTGGGCTATACATATCAAAAGTGTAAGTTTATATGAAACATTTGAATGTCTTCAGGTAAAGTGCCATTTCCGGTTAGTGGATTTGGTCCAAAAGTTGTTTAAGAGCTTTCGATTTTGGTTTAATAGCTATATGCCAAATTTCATTACGGTAACTGATTGCGTTTTTAAGTTATCGTGTTTACACACATTATTACATACGTATGTACGTACATAAATACGCACAGGCATTTTCTGGGAATGGTCAATATCAGGACTCAGGGGACCTCAAAACGTGTATATCCATCAAAATGTCGAGGTCGAATCTTTGCACGATTACAATACTTTGTCTCATATACTTCGTATATAGTGCGAGAAAGTAAAAATTAATTTACAATATTTTTCTTTGATATACTTTATAACAATGAAACTTCATAACTTTCACTTATTCTCGAATATTTTTAAATTAATTTGTTTTTTATTGTATTTAATTTTGTATTTTTAAAACTTCTTTTCTATTTATAACAGTTTAGATGTTATTTTAGTTTCTTATGATAACGATCGCGCATCAATTCAAACGATCACTTAACACTCTTACGCTTATATTGAGCAGCGTTATCGTTTCTTTTCAAAGACCAGCAGTAGTCAGCCATCATTCTTTCATCCCATCTACCTTGATAGTGTCGCTCTTTTTCTTTCAAATCCTGATGGAATCGTTCACCTATTTCTTCGCTGAAGGCTCCTACATTTTCCTGAAAGTAATCTAAATGGGAAAATAGGAAATGTAGCTTCAAACTCATTAAACAGCCTAATTTTTTAAAGTTTAATAACATTGTCGATACAATGTTTTTATATTGTTGATCCCGATGGTTGCCCAAGAAATTTTGTACAACTTCTTAGTAACTTAACCAAACATTTTTTTCGCTATCTGTCATTGTTCTTATAAAATCGTCATCTTTCATTAAGTTTCTTATATCAGGCTCCACGAAGATACCTTAACTTTAGCATGACTTAAATTTGCAAATGCAGACTTAAGATATTTAAAACAGTTTCCATCAGTATTTAAGGCTTTTACGAATTGTTTCATCAAGCCTAATTTGATGTGGAGTGGAGGTAACAAAATACGCTTTGTGTCAACAAGACTCTTGTAAACAACATTGTTGGAACCAACTTTCCAATCAAATCTTTCAGGCCACTTTTTTTTAATCCAATGTTGTTCTCGGGCGCGACTGTCCCAAATACAGAGAAAGCAAGGATTTTTTGTATTTCCTGATTGTAAACCAACCAAAATATTGATCATTTTAAAGTCACCACATATAAACCAGTTATGGATGTTGTAGTTGATTTTTTCGAGTACAAATTGAAGGTCTTCGTATGATTCTTTTCGCCTGGTGGAATGACCAATAGGGATTGCTGCGTATTTATTGCCGTTATGGAGCAACACTGCTTTAAGGCTTTCTTTAGAGGAATCTATAAAGAGCCGCCAGTCATCGGACTTATACACACCTACTTGATATGTATTGATAAGTCCTTCTATATCATTACAATAAACTAAGGAATTTTCACTAGAAAAATATTTCAGAAATTCCTCATCTCTTTTTCTGTACGCTGTAATTTTTGTTCCGGGTAACAACATGTTCCTCTCTTTAAGTCTGGAAGCCAATATTTCAGCTGAATCTTTAGAAAGACTAAGATCGCGAATAAGATCATCTAATGAATCTTGATCAAAAAGTTTAGGGTCTTTGGCACTAACAGAATCCTCATAATCACTGTCCTTTTCACGTTCAACAGAACTCATTTCTTCCAAACGACATTCATTTTTATTAGGTGGTACTTTGTCTAATCTCGCTATTTTTCCTTTCTTGGCTGGTGTTACGCTTTGTACGTTAGAATATAATATGTTTCCTTTATTTTTTCTATTATAACCTGTTATATCACAGGCACAGAAGTAACAGTCTTCATTGTGATCCTTAGGCTCATACCACATGGTTGGTGTAATGACAACTTCCTTTTTCATATCGTTCCAATTAATCAGAGTTAATCTACAAGTATTACAAATAGATGTAGGTACCCACGGTTTACCTAAATTTCTCATAAGTATGTTATAACATTCTAAAAATTTTTTTTTAATCCATTCATTAATGGTTCTGCGGTAAGGACGTGTTTCGAAGTTTCCGCAAATGTAACAAAACTTATCAAGTTTGTTTATACAAGGAAGTCTTGAAGACATGTTTGCTAAAACGCAAATATAGGTACTTATTTTAAACAAAATATGACTTTTAGGTCACTTTTGATTCAGATTTTGTGTTCTAAATTAGTAAATTTAATAAAAATGAAAATCGACTTACCTTCAATAGAAAACGTCACTGGAGAGATACTCACTTAATAAACCTTCAAATTTTTTTAACAACGGACAACAGTCAACAACGTTCATAAATAAAAAGTAACAATTAACAACAATCAAGACTAATTGACACAAACGTACAAACCAACAACCAATCAACAATAAAAAAACAACAAACACCAAGGAACAAAATTAACAACGCTCGACAATTAAAACAGTTAACAACAATTTACAACAATTGACAATAAATAAAAACAATCAACAACAAGTAACAACTGCAGACAAAACCAACAATCAAAATCAATTAATAGCAATTAGCAGCAAATAGCAGTATTTACCACGTAAGTGACAGTTCGCGTTAAAACAAAATCAATTGTTTTTTAAAAACCAAGCCAACTTTGAGGACAAATTTTAGAAAAATGTCGGTCGTGTAATGGCAGGCCAACTGGATACGGTATATTTTATTTTTTTACGCAAAAACTGTAAATCTTGTGTAACAAGGTGAAAAAGAAAAAAGTCACTAAAGAATAAGCCTTCCGACTATATTTTTTATATCAATATTCCATCGTTTCAAAAATTTTATCTAGAAAATCCAATATGGTTGTGATTTTCATCTTATAAAACGCTATAGAGCTTAAATAAAAAATAATATGTAAATTGTCTCTTTTAGAATGAATAAATCTCGTAAACAATCGTTTTATTTTTGTAAATACTGCTATAGTTTTCCCATTAAAACTATAACTTTGCTAACAAACCAAATAAATTCATAAAAATTAACTGGATTTTGAATGTCCTGTTTCTCAATTGAATACCACCTGGTTAAAAGATAAATGTATGGTTAAATATTTCAACTTTAAAGTTTCATTTTTAGATATTTAATCATATTTTCGCATATTTATTTTACTTGTGCGTTAGCATCGCTAACTTGATGTAACTCAACATCAGTTTATCGAGGACAGAACAAACCGACGTACTTATTAATTTCAACAGATGATATCTCGAAGAAGAAAAAAGATATTTAAATAATTGAAAAAGAGTTTTAAAGGGAAAGGGTAATAATTTCAAAATTTCTAAAAAAAATTTTTTTTTTTAATTCCGTCATGGTGAACTATAACCACAAATACGACCAGAAACCGTATTTTTAACATATTTTGGCTAAGATATTTTGAAAACCTTACGTGATGAAGCATTTTTGAGGTTAAATTTGGATTTAGAACGTGAAAAACCTTCGGGATAGTATAGTCTACTTGTTGGTTTAGAAAACATTTAAATTTTTGTCGGCCTGTGTAATGGACTACAACATCAACTTCGATTTACTTCTGTCTTGCATCCTTAGTTGGTTTACAGAAAGAACCATACTCGCCCAACTTATCAACCTCTTAAAAGTAAGTAGAGAAGGCTTGCGACGATCAAAATATTGTTCAAAATACTGATCTGCAGCTTGTATTGCATTTTTATAGCATAAAATGTAACAGTCAATGATATCACGCTTTTCTTGATTAGAAAAATTCATATTGATTATAATTTACAAAACCTCAATCAACGTTAAGCTGTCACAACACACCAAACGTATCTATCAATTGTTTCCATAGCATACTACCTGAACAGATTGTCAATTAAAAGAATAAATGGCTACAATTTATTTATTAATAAAAATATCTATGTCAAGTGGTATATCATTAGAATCGTTGAGAAAAGGCCTTTTTTATAATGTCATGGCCAACTATGGTTTCCATTAGAAATATCACGAGTTTGTGTTATAACTCAAAAATTATTGCTTAAATAAAAAAATCAGTTAGACTACTTTATTAAACATGTAATACCCTACAAATTTTTCCTTTACACATTTTTCCTAAAATCAATAATAACGGAGCCATAGGTATCGAACGATATAACAAAAATACGGTTTTTTCGAGATATCTAAAATGCATTTTATCCAAAAAATAAAAAGCTCATTAAATTGAGTTCATGAAACTGCAATTCTTTCACTATTTAATTGTCTCTCTGTCTAAGCTAGTTTTCGAGATCACCGTACTAAACATGGAAAAAACTCACCCTCTAGAACAAGTTGAAAGGTTAAATATAGGTCTAACATGCAATTATAATGGTCGTTCATACCAGACACCTGTATAACCTGCAAAATTATTTATCTCTTATTATTATCAATGTTGACCAGGTTTTGCACGGCAAATCAAAACCAGGGGCTTTTGGGTAATATGGGATCTAATTGTTCCGCTTGTTAGGCTGAATTCTTCATCTGTCGCCATGTATACTGTTTTGATTTGTGACCATAAAGGTTGTTAAACCACACTGGCCTACAGTATTCAGCGGTTGTGAAAACCAGGTTCAAGGCTGTTGAGCGCAGAGTGGATTCTGACGCCCCTCATATTGTTGCACAGAACTTTTGGATGATATTGTTCCTTATTTTTAGTTTCTTCGCTGTTTTTATTATATTTATGTTCTTTATACAAAAGCGTTCTATCAAGTGTAACGTCTAAGTAATCTGCTGTTTTGTTCTGAGTAACCCATGTGTTATCAAATTATTTTCTAAGCTTTCTGTAAACGACTTTATTGTTTAGATGGAAATATGTTATCTCAATTTTGCTAAGGACAACTTGGAATGTTCTATCATTCAGCATAATATATTATTTATCACGCGATCTATGGATCTACATGAGATAAGACGGAGAAACTTATAGATCATGCCTTCTCTAGATAAAGTATCGTAGGAATCCCGCTTCAATATAAGTAGAAATCGAGCGGATCTGGTCAACGCAGCTCCGTTTTTGCCTGAAACCTGCCTTTTGATCAATATTACATCAAATACTCTCTAACAAATTTTGTTGTAGATGAGGCTTTCAAGTAATTTGTATGATACTGAAAGAGTAACATATTAGGTCTCCGTCGCCTCATTTCACAGGTTCTTGGGTTGTCGTTTTATTTCGGTACCTTTGTCTTTTGGCGAATTAGACCTTGCTGCTATGTGGGAGTCAATGGTATTTGGAGAGATGTTAGATTTTTTTCTTTGAAGGTGCCAATTTCCAATTTCCTGAGCAAAGTCCATGCTTAGTGACTTAAGGTTTGGAGGTTCAGGGTTTTTACCATTTGCAACCATTTCTGTTGATGTGGAGAAGGTGCTAAATCAGCTAAGAGACGAACTAGCATTTCAATATAAGTATATATAAAATTCATTCATTGCATCGATAAACCATTTTACACGTCTTACAGGAAGTAAACTGGTGCCGATAATTTTTTGTTTGGTAATATGAGCCACAATCAAACTTGTAATATAGTGAAAAATTAAAAATGCAATGTCTAATCTTTCATTATTAATTATAAAAATGTAATTCTTATAATATCATTTACTAAGTAGTTTAATTTAATGCTAGATTCTGAAGACCGGATTCAACAACTATATTTATCATCATTGCATGCACACATATGTCAAAGGCGAGGATCTGAAGAACTACGCGATGAATGGCAGTGCACGTCAGCTGTATCCAGTTGCAAAACAATGAAATCGTTGCTAAATCATATGACATCATGTCAAAAGCTACAGAACTGCATGGTGCCATATTGTAGCTCTTCGAGGGAACTAATAAACCATTGGAATGATTGTGTGAGAATTGTTTGTTCAATTTGTTTGCCACTGAGACAAGCGGATGAACGCAGCACTAGTCCTTTTCATTGGGAATTTGCCCTACACCTTGCCGCTACCAATAACAACATCGAATGGGGCCAATTATTGATGATAAAAGGAATGGACGTTAACGCACGCAACCCGTGCAATCAGACACCTTTACACGTTGCTGTTATGTACGACAACCTTGAGTTTGGACGATTGTTAATCGAAAATGGAGCAGATATTGCTACCAACTCCGATTATATAGGAACGCCCTTACACTTAGCTGCTCAAGATGGCGGCGGTATGAATAAGTTGCAATTTGAAAATTTAGCGGGTGTTCGAGCTAAGGGCAATAAGGAAACATACCCATTCAGGAAATTATTGCATTCATTTGAATTTGGTCGATTGCTAATCGAAAAAGGAGCGGATGTTAACGCTAAAACCAATAGCAATCAGACAGCTCTACATTATGCCGCTATATATGGTAACATTGAAGTGGGTCGATTATTACTAGAAAACGGAGTTGATGTCAATTGGAAGGATACCAGTGAAACAACACCCTTACACTTTACTGCTCATAAAGGAGACATGGAATTTGGTCGGCTACTACTCGAAAATGGGGCCGATATTAATGCTAAAACCAATGAAGGGGAAACCCCATTATATTTTGCTATATTAAACAAAAAATTTGAATTTGGACGGCTCCTAATTGAAAATGGTGCAGATATTAATGCGAAGGACAAATATAAAAGAACACCCTTGCATTTGGCTGCTAGTGATAAGAACAGCGAATTTACTTGGTTGCTAATTGAAAATGGTGCTGATATTAATGCTGAAACCATGGCAAATGAGACAGTTTTACATTCTGCCGCTAAAGGTGGGGACATTGAATTGGGTCGACTACTACTCAAAAATGGAGCGGATGTTCACGCTAAAAGCGAAAGAAATCAGACAGCTTTACATCATGCCGCTTGGTATGGAAACATTGAAGTGGGTCGGCTACTCCTGGAAAATGGGGCCGATGTTAACGCTAAAACCAATGATGGGAAAACCCCATTATATTGTGCTACATTTAATAACGAATATGAATTTGGACGGCTCCTAATTGAAAGTGGTGCAGATATTAATGCGAAGGACAAATATAAACAAACACCCTTGCATTTGGCTGCTAGTGATAAGAACAGTGAATTTGCTTGGTTGTTAATTGAAAATGGCGCTGATATTAATGCTAAAACCACGTCAGATGAGACAGTTTTACACTGTGCCGCTATGAGTGGAGACATTGAATTGGGTCGGCTATTACTCGAAAATGGGGCGGATGTTACAGCTGAGCTCCCTTGGAAAGGAACACCAATATTTGTTGCCGCGAGGTGTGAAAACATTGAATTCGTTCGTTTGCTTATCGAATATGTAGGAGATGTTAACTCACTTTTACAGTTTGCCGCTAGTACGGGAAACATTGAATTGGGTCAGCTACTTCTTGAAAATGGAGCGGATTTTAGAGCTAGTACCATATCAAGACAAACACCCATATTTGTTGCCGCGGAGAATAATAATCTTGAGTTTATTCGCTTGCTAATCGAATATGGAGAAAATGTTAACATTAAGAACTATAATGGAGAAACCCTATTACACTTTGCCGCTAATACTAAAAACATTGAATTGGGACAACTTGTTCTCGAACATGGAGCAAGTGTTGACGCTAGAGACAACACTGGAAAAACGCCTTTACATTGTATTGTTTCTAAGTCTTATAATGATAGTACGGCTGAATTTTTCTGTATGTTGTTGTATTACAACGCGTCTGTAAATGAAGCGGATGATTTGGGATACGTGCCATATATTTCTGCCATATACTCCATAAATCTTGAAATTGCGGATATGTTATATATTTATGTAGACGAATTGGATTATATATTTGTACTTCTCACACTAAAAGTAATGATGCATTTATTTATATTTAACGATTCTATCCCTGACTACTATTTAGCACATTTAAACAAAGCAAAAATAGATGAGGGTACAGACGAACAATTACTTAAGGACATTAATCAGATTGGTTTTGGGCCAATATACACATGGTTTACTCATTGCCATAACAGTATAAAATGGGTTTGGTTACTTTTAAGTAAAGGGTTTCCAGTGACATTAGAGGACATTCAAGTCTTTTATGAAACGAAAGGTTTTTGTGAAGAAATTGAAGCAATTTTATCGTCGGAAGTGCCTATCAGGTATGATAATTATTGTGGATCTTATATAAAAAAGTTAATCTATAATCGAATCGACAATTACGATTATTACTTTACGACAAATAATTACTTTGCAAAAAAGGGACATGTTCCTAGCTTAGTACAAATCGCGCGAGATCGTTGTAGGAAAGATATTTTCAACGAACATCAAACAGGTGCTAATTATAAAGCCTATAATGTTATTATGCGGATGGAAATTCCTAAATTAATCAAAGATATTCTATTATTAAAACATCCAATTTATATAGTAAATTGAATAAAAAATATTATGTAGAGACGATTGAAATACAGAACAGATTTTGTAATTTTGAGATAAAATTAATATTAATGCAACAAAAAATTAAGATGATGGCCCTATACAGCCCACAAGACTATAGAAATCCTATCCAAAGAAAAGAGAGAAGAATTCTATTAGGGAACACTGTCATACCAGGAATCAAATAGATTTCACGAAAACCATATCATTATTAACAATTGATTTTATTTATTTATTTAAGCAACCAATGTATAATATTATACATATATGTGTAAAAAAATAAAAATTAAAATTAAATTAAATTAAATTGAATAATTCAGTGGATCTTTTTTTTTATTATTAAAACCAGCTCAACATACATTAAAACATGTTACATCATTTAGCGATTTGGGATTCCAGTTTCATCGTAGTGTAGATAATGAAATAAAAAGCGTAATATACGATGATGATTGTTTATTTATTTATTTACCGAAATAAATAAATAAACAATCATCATCGTATATTACGCTTTTTATTTCATTATGTTACATCGTGGCTGAATTCATATTTACATTAACATAACGGCTAAATTGGTTAAGGAAACAAAGTAACTTCCCAAGGAATCTAATTTAAACTTAATTTACAATAAATCTTGAGGCATTTTCCTTTTAAGTCGCTGATGCAAATTTTTGAAACCCAAATGGTTAAACCAGTGTGAAGTTACCCATAAATTCCATCCATAAAAAAGACTTTTTTGTTTGTGTATCGATTTTAATGATTAATAGCTCATTAGAAAGATCTCGTGGAGTAGAGCCTAACATAGTTTTGGCGGCTCAGATTTTGGGCGGGAACACCTTAAATTCCGCGAAAAACAGTAAAATATATAGAAAAATTCTCTAACTTTAGAGTATTAAAAATTGTCTTCTACACAAAAGTGAATTTTGGTCGTCGCTAAATCATATGGGTAATTAGAGAAGTGCAAGAAAACACGAACCTGTTTCCAGACGTACGTGGCGCCAGGCGGTTCTTTGAAAAGCAAAATCATATCCATAAGTATAACTTTCTTGTTAATTGTCCGATTTTAATGGGTAATACCTTTTTGGAAAGGGCTCGTCCTGTAGATCATGTCATAGTAATGGCGGCGCAAAATTCTAACAATAACGGTATTTAAACGATTAAAAAGGTTATAAACAATCATATCCATAAATATAACGTTTTTGTTAATTGTCTGTAACTAACTAATAACTAATAAATATAACTTACTACGAGATGTGTAATAAACGAAAAGTCAAACAAAGTGCCAGAGGAGAGTTGAGCGAAATGCGATCCATTACCATACAATTCACAGTATGAAAATACGACCTTTAACAACAGCCAGGAACGTTTAAAACAAATTTCCAACACTAGATTATCCTTTACAAGCAGATTGGTACAATTGTGGAGTTCTTGTCTGTCATTTGATTGACTGTATATTATCAAATAAACCATTTAAATCATTAAATGCAGATTCATACAGAAACATCATTATTGAAACTTTATTAAAAAAAACTCCGACTTATTAAAGGAAAAATGTCTATATTTCGCTGAAGAGGTTCATAATGAATTCAAATGCAAGCAATGCTCGTAGATGGCCCATGATACCTGCAAAAATAGTTTGGACGAGTGGTTTGAATTTTGTAGATAGCGATCTTAAACTGTAATGGGGGCCCTTACACATTCTTTTTTCTATTGGTTTATTCGATAGTTTAGCAAAATTGAAGACTTCTATTAATTTTTTATTTTTCAAACTGGGCTTTAGGTTTTCAAAAAAAAAAATAATGAAAATTTGAAAAAACTTTGGATACGTCACCGTCGTTTCGCACGCGGTTGGTTGAAATAAAAATTAATAAAAGGTGCATGACCGAGATGCCACGAGAATCTTATGCGCTAGAAGAAGAGATCCGAACGATTCACGTTTTGTCTGATCTTCTTGATCTTACAAGAAAACTTCGTAAACGTCACCAAAGCTGTTATACAGGGGATTTTGAATTTTAATATTAATTATTGCAAAAATGAAACATTTTTAGGATCTGAAAATGTTACCAATCCTTCTATTTTTATATACTTTATTGATTTTTTGAAAGACTGTCTTTCTATTTGATTGAGAGTAACGGCCCTATACGGTACAATAAAAATGTGCCATCCATTTTTATATACAATTTAATGTAGCAACTAAATGTAACTACAATTAAATTAGATTTTAGTAGTTGACTACTTATACAATTTTGTTTAATTGATCTCATTTTGTAAATAATTGTTGTAGCGAGTTTTAGATACTTATTATCTTTACAGAAAAAATATATAATATACAGTTGACTTGTCGTTAATAATAATGAATTATAGTATTTTATTAATATACTGTGTTTTTACTTATTTTAAAAGTGGGACAGTTACTAACAATGTTTAAAGGACTAAGAATATAATTATTTATAACGTTTATAATCGTTTAATCACCCAATTATTGTTAGAATTTCGCGCCGACATTACTATGAAATGATCTACAGGACGAACCCTTTCCAAAAAGGTATCACATATTAAAATCGGACAATTAACAAAAAAGTTATACTTATGGAGATGATTTTGCTTTTCAAAGACCCGCCTGGCGCCACGTACGTCAGGAAACAGGTTCGTGCTTTGTTGCACTTTTCTAATTCGCGATATGATTTAGCGACGACCAAAATTCACTTTTGTGTAGAAGACAGTATACGCATTCTGATTTGATAATCATACCTGATATTATGTTAATTACTTTTCAATTTTTGGGACTCTAAACTTAGAGATTTTTTTTATATAATTCACTGTTTTCGCGGAATTTAAGGTGTTCCCGCTCAAAATCTGCGCCGCCAAAACTGTGTTAGGCTCTACTCTACGAGATCTTCCTAATGAGCTATTAATCATTAAAATCGATACACAAACAAAAAAGTTTTTTTTATGGATGGAATTTATGGGTAACTTCACACGGGTAATGGTTAAACCCAAATCGGGCAGTGGACGGGAAATAAACACGGTCAGGGGAAAAATTTAAGAATAGACATCAGGCTTAAAAAGCGTCGATTTTTTTTTTAACCGACGTAAAAATGCCTAAAAAACACGTTAAAAATAAAAAGAAAGTGCGGAAAAGTGAAAAAATGACCGAAAAATGAGTTTGAAATTTCGACGTGACGTCACAAAATGTGACGTCACGAAGCTTACTTACGACGTATTTAACACAATTGTATGGATAACCCAGGTCCGAGAAAATTATTTTTCCAGATCCACGCACACAACACGAATAAAGAAGTAAAAATTAAAACATTTTCTCAAATTTAATGAAAGAATTAACAACTTTTAGTATTATAACGCATATTTTGGGGTGATATACCCATGTTATTTTGGTTCTTGACCCATAATGACTAAACGTCTTTATTTACCATCTACCTGCTCGTGTAGATCTGTGTTTTTACCCCTGCTTCGAACCCGACCCGACATTTCGGGATTGCGCACTAGTTTAAATGTTAATTAACCTAACTCAAAATCTAATTTCTACACAAAATTCGCAAAATAATCAGTATATTAGGTGGATCCAAATGTAACGTTTTTTTTCAACAAGACCATACCAATATTTGACCCACCCGCTGCTAAAAAATCAAATCTATAATAAAATTAATACTGATATAAATTAGTAAATTATGTGGATCCGAATGTAACGTTTTTTTTCAACAAGACCATACCAATATTTGACCCACCCTCTGCTAAAAAATCAAATTTATCAATAAAATTAATACTGATATAAAGTAGTAAATTATGTGGATCCGAATGTAACGTAAAAAGGGGGTTGGAGGACGGGGTTTCAGGTAGAACGTAAGAAAAGACATTTCAATCGTTGTGTCGTATACCTAAGATACAAGGTTATTTAACTCGAAATGCGTTTTAAGAAACTGTTAATTCTTTAATTTTTGTTTAAATTATTAAATTTCCAATTTTATGGAATAAATGTAATGTGATTGGTTGTGAAAAAAAAAGAAACGATTGGAATTACCAGTGGTGCTGCGTAAATATACGATAGAACATGGTTGATGACGTCAGAAAACGTGACGTCACATCGAAATTTCAAACTCATTTTTCGGTCCGTTTTTCACTTTTCCGCACTTTTTTTTTATTTTTAACGGCTTATTTGAGCGATTTCACATGGGTAAAAAAAAAATTGGCGATTTTTAAGCTTGATGTCTATTCTTAAATTATACCTTTTTTTTTTTTAGTATTACTATTGTTTTACTTTGTTATTTTTAAATATTTTTTTTTGTTTTGTATTCTTTTTTTTTGTATTATTATAATTTTGTGATCTCTGGATTTACTTGCTTTCTCATGAATGAGGATCTCATTAGTGTGGAGCACTTGAACGTTCGCTCCTTGCCCCAAAACTGGAGATGTTGCTGAATTACTTCAAAGTGAGAATTTTAATCTATTGATGATGCCTTGGTGTCCATTGACGGTTATTGTTTGTATCGTAGAGATAGAGTGGGCCGTGGTGGTGGTGTAGCTTATAGCGCGCGAAATTGGGTAGAGTTTAAATTTAAAATTTAAAAAGTTACAACTTATAACTTTTTCTCTTAAACTCTACCCAATTTCGTGCGCTATAAGCTTCACTTGTAGTGGCGCTGTTACTTGTCAACGGTTAACCGTTAATCCCACTCACTTAGAGTTAACCCACGTCGTAAGTCATGCCACTCAACTCAAATTTTACACGTGGTTTCCTTGACAATGTTTAAAGTTTTCGCTAATTTAGTGCAATTGTAAGTAATTTATAGCTTTATTTACTTTGTGAATCAATTAATTGCGATTTTATTGCCCACAATCCTTCCTGAGAATAATAATTATCCATAAAAACTGCTAACGGGATTGAGGAAAAAATCTCCTGCTTGGTTTTCTTTAATTACACAGAAATGTTTTTGCTTCTAAGTCTATTGCCTTTGAAATGCGTGATTCATGCGAACAGGTTTGGATAGACGTACGAATTGGTTCTGTGAAATGTGTTGTCGGTTGTATTTATAGGCCTCCTACAACTAATAATACAACTTTTATGGATGATTTGGAGTTCCAATTGGCTGAACTTAGGTTAAGGTAAAGCATGATTTTTTGTTTGGGTGATTTTAATATAAATTTATTGATTCCTGATCATAGAGATACTGTTAATTTGTTGTCTGTTATACAAGGTATGAATATGTTA